GCATTTATGATCCAGTCGAATAGCTTACAACACTTGCACCACTTACACAACTATACCACTAATTTCATCTCATAACATGGATCGTGAGCGCCTGAATACCTCTGCGTGTTACTTTTACTGCTGTCTAATTATGGAAGCTAAGATGATGAACATAGTTCCAAAGTTTGGAAGGGGAAAGCGATCAGTTGCTAAGTTTTCAAAAGCATAAAGGCTGCTGTGAAAAGGACAAAGAACGCGTGAGTTTGCGCCTATCTTTACGAATTGACAATTCGCCTTCCTTTAAATTATGCGTCAAATATCTGGTGACCACGCTGGCAGAATGACGGTTGCTTGGCGCTATGGACATGTAGTAAAAAGGTTGATATTAAGAATATCCCTCGTTGCGCGACAGAAGGAAAGGGTCAAGAGCTTTGGCCTACGTTAGTGATAAAAAATATTTTATCAGATACGCCATTTTGCCGCTAATTTGTCGAGGATTATAGACCTGACACATAGTGTGTTTGAACATCGAATGATGGATGGCAACCGTTAGTGTGCTTTACACCGACTGATGGGTAGAAGCCGTAACCGATTGGATCTTCTGAGATAGCGAAGGTATAGCAGAAGAACCTCTAACTCGATAGTTTGACCTATCCACAAAAGCCCTAGAAGAACACACTCGAAAATTTTTTTATAAAAAGAGCCCGCTGGGTTGCTCCTAATCTTGACAAGGAGTAGAGTGAGCGCGTAGCTAAAATTTTCAAGGGACCATATAATACAAACGGGATCGCTTTCTGATTCATTCCCATGCTGTAGGCTTACCAAGCATCCGTATATGATGTTGCTAAATGGTATCAAGCTTATCTAGGAGAGCAGAACACTGACTTCACATCATACCTGTCGCAATCCAGGCGAAATATACATCGGTTATTTCTGTGATGCTATGAATAAAGATGAATACATGGTGCATTTCTCAAAGATTGATCAACGCCAAAAGTAGTTTTGTCGTCTACAACGCTGAGACAGCTTGTCGCTAGTCAGTGTCCTCTGATACTTTGCTCTTCATTGATAGGGTTGTGCAAGATGATAGGTGGTTATAAAATTCCAGTCATCATTTACCGTTAGGCCGAGCGTGTTAAACATACATGAGTACTTTTACGGGCGCTCTCACTCTTCCGAATAGATAAGGTTATCACTCTTAAAATTCAATTCTCCTCTACGGTGTTCTCCCCAAATAAAAACCATAAATTTTGACTACTTTCTACGCCGTAAAGCATGAATTGTGTCTTCGCACTGCTTATGAGCTGTCCAATTTTTTTCTGATCCGTCGAGGTTGTTGAGAAAGGTTTCTGTTCCAGTGTTACTCCTCAGAGACATAACGATTTTATCAGAGCAGCGCAAATTTTATGGGATTTTGCCGTTTATACGCATGTCATTTTCGTCCCAATCGAGCCACTTTATCATCCATCGCACTGCAGCTGTGACAGCTATTGCAACATAGTGTCGCATTTCATACATAGTTGGACAAATCCCAAGACCGACTGTCTATTAACCTCGGCATGCTTCAGTATGATTCTTGATTTTCTTCTTTGAGCAGAACACGAGATGTTACATTAAACTTTATTCGATAGCTGACGTTTCGGCAGTTCATCTTCTTCAGAGCCTGGAAAGGTCAAAATGTTTGCAATACAATCAGTCAAACACCTCCATTACTTCTTTAGAGAAAATCACCAGACCTAGATTTCAATCGCATCAAGCAAAAATCAACACTCAACATACTCACCGCTTTTTATATGCGTTCCACTGGATGATCCAAGTGGAGATCACCGGCAAGAGAGACACATAGGCTCGTAATGCATCCTACCCATCAAAACAACAGTCTTATATACTGGCTCATAACACTAGTGCTTACAAGCATTCCTCCCTGCGGTTTATGGTTGGATTGGTCGATTAATCCAAAATGCTTCCAAGATCTTTCGCGCTGATGTTTTTTGCTCCTGCGCAAGGATGGTGACTTCGATTTCAAAATCAACTCCGTCGTGCTTCTGTGCTCTATGCGTCCCTAGCGGGTGTTTCGTCTATTAAGACGCTTGTCAGCTGGATGTTCTTCTACACCGTGTTTCGATCTATAAGTCAGCCCTGTTTGACTGACCACTGACATGCGTGGCTCAAATATGATTGCAAGGCATTTTCAACAACGATCTTTAGCATTGAAACCGTCAAGATTTGAACAATTGAATAAGTGCCAAAAATCCAGTGAAAAGCTATTCACGTAATTCAGCCAAGGAGAGAAAGCAAATCGAGAGTGGAATACAATTTTGCTCTGCTACTACGCAATAAGTGGAGCATCTTTTCATTGTAGTCCGCTTCGGACAGGTGAAGTCATCGTTTGGTGGCACGTCATTCCTAGCCGTTCTCGGACAGTTCAGTCACGCGTTTAGAAATAGGAGACAGTTTTCTTTCGGTAGCTATGGGGTGAATTTTATGTGCTTTACCGTTCATTCCACATCTAGAACCTCTGTCCATTATCTCTTGATTGGAGTTGATAAATAAACAATCATCTATAAAGGTAGTATGTTGAAAGCGGTTGTGCATGATGGGATTAAAATCTAGGTTTGATAACTTTCCTCTAGCGAAGTGATGGAGGTATGGCAACCTGGTCTTTCTAAACTTTGGAGAAGGTAAAGCCACGAAAACAACTGTTTGATAAAGTGTAATATTATCAACCTCGATGACGTGCATCACAGTGCAACATCTACAGACACCCTCTGGTCACCCGATGGCGATTGATCTGTAGATGGCCTAATATCGCTGCTGAGAGGAATATGTTAGATCATTATCAAAGACGTCACCGATTTTCTATAGCTTCAGTGGTTTTGAGTAATTCTCTTGCTTAGTTGGCGAATCGCTAATAGCAGTAATATACTGATGCAAAAGAGATTGCGGTTATGCATTAATAAAATTTATAATTCGATAATGGAACAACTGAAAAACCGAAATTACCGCAAAACCCGAAATTTGAAGCCGTAATTACTTTAGCACTAATGCGGCACCAATTATGGTAGTAGCGGTTCGCTAATTTTCTAGAGCCTTAATCAATGTTATGTAGCAGTATTTGTATAGTTACGCAGATTTTTAATTTATCGATGATATCTAAAATTGCTCTCAGGCCAGGTGAGAGGATCGAACGGAGAAAAGACGGGCCTCTATGGTAGTAATACATTCTTCATTTCTGATAAGTTTTAGCATTTCGCTTTGAGATTTCTTTTCATGACATTTACGACTCATTTGCCAGGAATATGACAGTGATTGTGATCTGTTTCTAAACTTGCCAACATTGTAAGCCATGACGACGTTGATCGTTGGTGGTTTCTCGAGAAGTCTTGTAAGGTATAACTGGATGTTAATTAGGATTATTGACGATATTTGTTTGCCAGACCGTACACGTTGACTGTTGGTTGCTAATGCCTACAGCTTCGATACCTCAAATCGCAGAAAGAGTCATGGCATGATAAGTGATCTTAGCAGCGAAGTGGTTAACACACGTCTTCGGTTAGGTTGAACGGGTTCCACCCCAGATTACGGCGCTGATTTTTGCATACCACTTAACATTCTTCGAATATTTGAGTGCTTTGGAAAAAATTATTTGTGCCTATTTCGTCCTATTGGGACTCATCAGTAGCACCCTCCCTCGGTTCCGCTATTGTCATAATCACATACTTTACAGCATATCTCATTATCACAGCCGTGCAACATGAAAGGACATTCGATTATTGCCCAGCGTCTGGGTTTTGTAGATTTGGATCTGGAGTTGCCAAAACGTCAACTACTTTTGAAATATTGAAACAATAACCTAGTGTCTGGCCAAACAGGAAAACCGCAATGACAAGAGTTGAATGCCATTGCCTCACCTCTGCTATGAGCAAAATGCAACCTGTTTTAAACAACAAAGATTGGCCCATATATCAACTCATGGGTAAAAATTACAACGGAGTTGACAAACCTGACAAAAATATCAGCATCAACAAGTAGGAGCATTAGCGAGCTGATTACACCAATATACGGCAAATAAGAGATTTAGCTCGAAAATAGATGTTCAAACTGTGAGCTGAACCCGTCAAACCTACAGAAATATTTCAGTACAGGCTCTTACACCATGTATGGTCAACACTGACTAGAGATCAGCTAAGAATTTTCATTGAATAAAATGATCTTTCTCATTAAAACTTCAAAATTCCGTTGCTACCAAGTCACGCTTTTCAGGAAAACAAGAAATAGAGTAAAACAATGTTCGAGACTGATCGATTGCATACAACTCCATTGAACCTTCGCAAGCGAGATTAAATGAATGTGTTACAGTCACATAATCAAGTGCTGTACTATCGATTTTTCAAGCCAGTGGTTTCATACTCTCATAAAGCGTAACATCAACTTATCGATTCAGCAGAAATCTTGAACTTGGTTGAGATGGCCTGGTACACAACATCGTTGGTCGTGTGTTCATAGCAGAATACTTCTAGCCCCTGCGCTGTGATAACTTCTTTGAATTTGATAGGGAAAAACGTGTGAAGGGTGGGGAAGCGTTAACGCATGAAAATTGCTATCGTGTCCACGTTGTTTTAGTTTATTGAAAAAAGTTTCTAGTGCACAAGTGCATATGAGGTTACTATGCCCTAAATCATTTCCTCTGCTGATCCTCAAACTTTATCAAATGTAAGTACGTAGTAGGGCAATTATTTAATGAAAAACTTTTGGAACTGTAGTATTTTTAGCACTTTTTTGCAGTGTTATGATGATACATATATACCTAAGAGTAATGGATGGTGAGCAAGAACACACTCGTAGGCGGGAATCGAACCTGCGTTTCATCCATCCGGGATGCGTGCTCTACCACTACACCACCGAAGTACACTTGCGCCACCACTCATTCGTCAGCACCTCAGTGCTAGCTATCAGCCACCAACCTTTAGCAGGTTTGTATGCGATTTTGCTTTATAAACCCAGCTGAATTGACGAAATGTGCCTCGGTGATGCAGTGGTAGTAGCACGTCCCCTGTATGGATGAAACGCGGGTTCGATTCCCTACTGAGGCCGTATTTTTGCTCACCACGCAATCTTCTAGGAAAAATTTTATTTTCCCAATGTTTTATTATATGGCGAATAAGCAGTAATAAGTAATGTTTTATTGCTACGTGGCCTTCTCACATTTTTTGCGGTGGCAGGCCTTCATTTCGTAACAGTTCATAGAATTTTTACGATATAAACACCGTTCCCCATTAAATATCGCTCATCAGGTTCACTTAGACATTCTTTGCAAGCCGTCGTGTGGTTGACATGAGTTATAGTGAAAGTTATTGTATTGCATTCTACAATTTTCGTTATCGCTTCGAAATGTGCTCCCTTTAAAGCCATTAGGCCACTCCACGTGCACTTTTTGTAAGGCTATCGTGTCGCTTCTACAAGAAGTTTGATTACTGCACTTATCGAGCAGAAAAATCCTATTAAGCATTGATATAAATTTTTCCTGTGAACATTCCGCCCACTGTGAACGTAGTAAGAACGACTGATTAAGACATGAACTTAATAGTGTGATATCACTAAATGTCGGCATCGTCATTAGTTTGAGCTCAAAATTGGATCTACTGCTGTTGTGAGCTTAACTTTTTTTTTTTCGTATCGACGTAGTTCCACGATACTGTGATTATAGTGTTGCTTTTACAATAAACTGCTAGCCATAGCTCAATAATTTGTTCTGTGGCAACATTTATGAAAGTTTTGCATTGTAACTAGGTATACGGCTGGGCGTTGTTTCCTCACGAGATCAATTTAGTACAAAAGTATTGCATTCATTGCTGAACCACGACCACACGTGATGTGATGTTGTTACGAGTCCTGATCACACTATCAAATTTGCCAATGAACACTTTCAGATACTTAAGAGAAAGGTTTGAAGAAAAACCTGGCGTAATGGACGTCAAAACATCGCCGACTATTCGAGTGATTTGTGCTTTAGTTGTCCTCATCGCTGCAATCAGTGGAATCGCACTAAATTTCCTTGTCATCGCCGCTTTCTATAAGGTGGCAACAGTATATCAAAATTTTCACGGAGATATGTGAAAGGATTCTTGAGTCTTAGGTACCTGTGAAAGGGCTCATAGTCACATCAACATTCATTTTCTGGACGTCAATTAACGTCGCCACTTGTCGAGCTTTTCTCTCCGCGAAACTGCAAAACAACTCGGGCACGCTGTTTTCGAACCGGATGGAAATGTTTATGCAATATCCTTACCAGGATAAAAGTAAATCTGCAAATAGCGGAATGGTGTAAAAGATTTTGGAAGACAATTTCCTGCGTGACTGGAATTCGAGTTGAGTTTTTATTAGATTTATGTGTAATCTTATCGTTTTTCTCGCTACGTTGAAAACACTGAGGATTATGTATGATTCGCCACGAGTTAGTGATGATGTCGCTAGCAATGACGAATAATTGGAAAGAATTTGCCATTTATGCACACGTCTTTCACTTCCTAATCAAGTGGCATCATTATCCACTGCACTGAGGTAGTAATCAGTCATGTCGTGGCAGTATCACCTTATCGGACTCTCTTGCAACCGCGAATAACATAAACGTTACTTCAATGCTCTCAAATCATTTAAGTAGCAGAGAAAAGTTTGAATAAGAGACAGAAGTACTTAAGACAGACTTCTATGATCCAGGACACGATTTTAATATGGCCAGTGGCCAACGTAAGAAGATCTGTGTTGAGATAGTTCTTGCTCACTGGTTATGCCGTATCAAAGCTCTTTGAACATGAGATAGTACAGCAGAGTCATGGGTTCAGAATATGATAAATGTGCAAAACGACTCTTTTGGTTTGATATCCTTCGCTTTCGTAGATGACATGCTATATGACTTACTAAAAACAAAAAAGGAGCGCTCCCGAAAGAGTGAAATCTGTGTTCAAATCCCAGCTGGAGCAAATGTTTTTGCACACCACTCTACATTATTGGGTTTACTGGAACATCATACCACCGCAACAGGCTACCAATTGAAATGAATTCTGATTGTTCACCTACTTCATTACTTACACTTCCAAAATGCCTATTAAACAGTATGGATTGAGGATATTGATTCGTCGATTTCGGAGAAAAGGCTTGACGATTCTCAAAGCTGTCAGTGAGATTCTTTGGGCAGATGATTTGGTGATTCTGGTTGGCTATATGTTTTGGATAGAAATGACTTGAAATGCCTTGCATGCCGAGCCCAGCATTCGTGAATTGACTGAAGAGCTTGGTGTTTCGCAGCAGACCGTTGTCAAAAAATTTCATCAACTTGACTTTGTCCACAAAAAGAAGAGGAGGAATGGCAGAAAGTTGTGGACAATGGTGGTCTATATTTTGAAGAATAGTTATTACTACCTTTGTTGTTCTTGCTCATTAAGTCTAAGCTTTCAACAATTTTTCACAACTTTTTGCTTAATCCTCTTTGCATGTAATAAAATGGTGACAAAGCTACGCTACCTGCATAATACGATGCCATAGAAATGTCGAAAACAGCCACTAATTGGTATAGTGACAACTGTCATTATTTGTCATATGTCGATCTTTTTCATTTGTCTCTGGTAGGGTAATTTCACATGATTTTTTGCCTGGTGCAAATCAAAGAAGAGTGGAGCTTTAGAGGCTTCTGACATAAGATAATAATTCTAGGCAGGCTCCTTGATAGGAATTTTCGAAAGAGATCCGGTTGGACCCTTGTGCTATTAGGTAGTGCCGAACCCAAGAAGGCCATCAGCGACGACGTAGCGGAATCATGAAAAGTGCAAATCAACCAATGAAATTTGAAGGAGATTGTTTTATCACGGTAAGTAAAATAGTATTCACTCCAGTTACCATGATATCTGTGTAAGATGCTGGGCCTGAAAAAGAAAAAAAATAGCTCTGAGAAAGCGCGTTGTGTTTTCGTGTCTTTAAGAGTGCCATCTAGCTGCCCTCTCTTCTTTTTAAGCCAAGCACAAAGTTTGATAATGATTTTTCAAAACAACTGATGTTTCGGCAATTTCGCTTTCTTCAGAACATGGAATGATTAGGTTCTTCCCAATCCAGTCAATCAAGCACCTTTATTACTCTTTTGGAAAAAATTCATCAAACCCAAATTTCAATCGCATCAAGCACAAAATCAACTTTCAAATATACCAAACGTTCCACATAATCTTCCAATGAATAATTCAAGTGGAAACCACTGGGCAGAGATCACCTACTCTCGCAAGGTCCTCACTCATCAAAGCGGCTGTCTTATATAGTGATTCATACAACAAGTGAGTACAAGCCATTCTTTTCTGCGATTTATAGTTGCATTGATAGTATCAATCCAGAACACGTCAAAATCTTTCGCAACGATGTTTTACGCCTTCGCATAAGGATGGTGCCTTCCATGTCGAAACTCACTCCGCTATGTGTCTGTGTCCTATACGTTATGTGTCTAACTGAGTGTTTGATTTAAAAGTACGTTTGTCAGCTAGGACTTCTTCTATAAGGACATAGAGTAGCCTATCCGTTTCGCCAATGTATTCGCCTCACGTTTTGCAGGAGACAGGGTAAACTGCGCCTATGCTCATGCAATCACCGTCTCTGCCGTTAGAGCATATTTGGCATTGTTCCATTGTACAGAGGCGGTCGTATAATCGGTTGAGAATTAGCTGGCGTCTCACAGTTATGGTGGTACATCAATAATCCACACCGATCTGTCTAAGCCTGCACTTTTAAGCACGTTTCATAGGTGTAATTTGCTTGAAAAAGGGGGATTGAATGGAACTCTGTTTTCGTTCATATTTTCGTTCGGAGGCGCGTTTATTTCTCTAAACCTCTTGGACTGTCTTTGATAGTGAGAGTGAGGCGAAACCACGAAAAAGCTTCCAAATCTCCGCAGGAAAGAGCGTCATTTTTCTATTAAGGACTGCTATCTGGTTCCAGAGGAATATTTTATTATTTTCTCAACAACTGAGAAAAAAGCTCAGGCACATTTGGAGTTAAAACAGAATTTTTCTTGTGCTTGACGGTGGCAATAACATTGTGTTGTCTGTGTCCCACAACACCACAATGATGGTGTGAACTATATATATATGAGGAAAAAGAGCTGTAAAGTCTACGATTTACTTTTCCTGATGTTTTCAAAGGTAGTAGATTAATCATGAAAAACTTTGCCTCTAATCTCTCAGCCACTTCATATTCAACAGCCAACTTAATTCATTTATCTAGATGATGTTTATCATAGATCTAATTACATATAAGCTCCTTCATTTAGCGAGTAGAACATGCGGTTGTTGTTTTAGAAATTATTTCAACGGTTGATATTTTCGACGTTTATCGCCTTTTTCAGAGTCTGGAATCTATTCAGCCAAACTACTTTTACGGTTCAACAGAAAAATCATGGAACTTAGATTCCAACCACAGTTTAAACAAAATATAAGATTACCATAAACTCAGCGGTTTCTATAAGTCTTCCTCTGATTATTCCAAATGGAAACCAACGGTGCAGAATATGTATGGAGCGTCAAACTGTCTCTCTTTCATCAAAGTATCAATTTCAATATATTGTGTGAGACAGCGCGAGTTATTGAGGCATTTCTGCCTGCTGTTTGATTTAGACGCGATGCATTGTGTAATCCTCTACCCGTACGGATAGTCACATGTACATGTTTCAGTACATGGGTGACAGTTTTTTCTTCAAGGCACCGCTGCAGCTTGACGGTCTGGCATATTCAAAGATGCTTCTTTCCACATTCCTAGTTACAATCAACAGGCTTACTATATTCGTATTTACAAAAATTAGTGACGTTTTTTTTTTGCTGCAAAAAACACAACTGTGTAAGTTTTTGCTTCTTTGCTTAGCATTCAACCTTATAATTTTTGTTTATATCATAATTATAGAATGTGTACTGTCGCATGCATTCATACAATATGTGTTTTGACCTTTAACCTATTTACTGGGTGCGAAAAAAGTTTTCCAGCGATGTTAAGTAAATCAATTGAATGCAAGTTGCAAGACAGTTCAATGTTTTAACTGCCTGCTTGAGGGACCTCCCATATATGC